GCTAGAGGTGCAATCCGAGATAAAGCCAGGCCATCTACAACACCTGTGGCTATTGGATCAATTGGTCATCCCTCTCACTTTCAACAGTACAAATATTTAATCTTGTTCAGACAGTTAACTTGCTTCCAAAAAAAAAAAAAAAAGGCCCCCAAACAAGAACAAAAAACAGAACAACCAAAAACACCCTCTTCCTGGAAGGAGAACAGACAGGTCTTGTAGCCCAGCTTTGTTCAGGAGAAATGACAACACACTTAGTACCACATCGATGGGGAGGCAAACCCAGGCTCCAAGGCAAACCCCTCTGCTCCTCCTGCCAGGTCGAAGCCTAGCCCGGAGCCCCCCAGCCGGCCCCAGCCTACACCGCTCCACCGAGGACCTGCGGGTGCAGCCACGCATAAGCTACGGCCATCTGTGTGAGTGTCCTCTGCCACTCGCCACAGCGTCTTCGTCACGGCCTGGTCCTGGCTGTGGCAGCCGTGGAATGTTGGCTTTCGTATTCTTTCAGAGGCGGAGGAGACAAAGTCCAGGGCCTGTCTAGAATTCTTAGGACAGGAGCCAGGAAAATTCTAACTTTCACCGAAAGCTGGTCTACTCTCAGAGCCTAATTTACTACCGTACATTTTTATTTTCCTCACCCGAGGATATTTTTCCATTGATTTTTAGGGAGAGTGGAAGAGAGAGGGAAAGACAGAGAGAAACATCGATATGAGAGAGGCATGTCGATTGATTGCCTCCTGCACGAGCCTGACCAGAATCGAACTTGGGACCCTTTGGTCTGCAGGCTGATGCTCTATCCACTGAGCCAACCTGGCTAGGGCTAACAGTCATCATAATAATGCCATATCTCCCAGTTGTGAGGGTTAAATAAAACACACGTCAATATCCTGGCACGGAGTAAGAGTTCGAGAAGTGGTCATTATTATTATATTGAATAGCTCCACTATGGTTATAATTAGTGGTAGTATTTTCAGCAGCACCTACCAGCAAACATGGGAGGTATCTCCCCCGCCCCCCAGGACAGAGAGTGCTCTCATCACTGGGTGACAGTCTCGAGCCGCCAGGACAATGAAACGCTGTAGTCACAGCCTCTGAGTGCCGGGGAGGTGCCTGGTTGCACACGAGGCCTTTTCAGACAGTTCATCAGAGATGAACAGGACGGGTGAGCTACGAGGCAAAGAAAAGAGGGGACTTGGAAAATGAAAAGAAAAGGCAGTGTGAAAATAGCAATCCTATTTTCCTTTAAAGACTTTCACTAAAATGCCAATATATGAGCAAACGCAACCTAGGGCTGTGCCCCTACCAGGCCTGAGGGATGTTTCGGGAGGAGCTGTGGCCCCTGTCCGAGGCCTCAGCTGCAGTGTGTCATGGGCTCTTTTCTCTATTCGTAGTGACCCTGGGTCCTCATAGTTCCCCCAGGACTTGGTGATTACACGTAGGGGCGCCAGGGGGCAGCAGTGAGAGGCGGCGAAGGTCTTCAGTTATTCGCTGTGGATGAGGTCTCCCCTGCGCTGTGCTGCAGGGTTGGGGACCCCAACAAAAGGCATGAATAAGCGCTTACAGCGTGTGTGCAGGTGGCCCCGGGAGAGCTCAGTGAGGAGGGGCTGCTCCTGAGTCTTGGAGAATAAGGAGGAAGGCGTTTTCCAGGAAGGGGACGGGTGTTCTAAGCGAGGGAGACAAACAGCAGGTGCAGGAAGGCGCTGCGGAGGGCGCTGTGTATCCAGGTCTGGATATAGTGGTTCGGTAATGAGGAGCGTAAGGCCTGCGGGGAAGAGGGTCCCACTGAAGGGGCGTCTGTGCCCTGCAGAATGGCCCAGCCTTTATTCTGATGGCAGAGGGGACCCCAGAGAAGTTTTAAGCAGAGGCAGACCATGATCAGATTTTTATTCGAGAGAGATTAGCCGAAATGTGGGCGTGGCAGCGACAGGAGTGGTACGATTGGGCAAGGATGGAGGGCTTGAGGTCTCTGGAGGGGACGAGGGCAAAACAGGCCCTCAGGGGAGGCCAGGAGGAGAGGCTCTGGATGGAAGGAAGAGGAGGGGGGCCAAGGGAGCATGTTCTGGAAGTGAGGGGACACCAGGCCGCTGAAAGCCAAGAAGTGACAGGTCTGAGAGTGTCCCCTGGGTCTGGCTGAGCTTCTCCTGCCTTAACCAAACAGGGGAATTATTGAGCAGTTCAAGTAATTCACCACCACTGTTCTTCCCACCTCTCCTCCCTCTGCCAGCCCAAATCCTTAGCCATCTTTCAAGACTGACATGGGGCCGAACCGGTTTGACTCAGTGGATAGAGCGTCAGCCTGTGGATTCAAGGGTCGCAGGTTCGATTCCGGTCAAGGGCATGTACCTTGGTTGCGGAGCCGGTTCAGCTCAATGGGTAGAGTGCTGGCCTGTGGACTAAATGGTCCCGGGTTCAATTCTGGTCAAGGGCACATGCCTAGGTTGCAAGCTCAATCCCCAGTGGGGAGGCATGCAGGAGAGAGCCGATCAATGATTCTCTCTCATCACTGATGTTTCTATCTCTCTCTCTCCCTCTCCCTTCCTCTCTGAAATCAATAAAAATATATATAAAAAGAAAAGGACTCACATGGGTCATGGAGGATGGAGGTGAAACTCGTCTTCTCTCTCCAACAAAGTCCAAGCTTAGCGACACCTCCCCACCCCCAGGGTCTGGCACAGAACAGACGTCTTTGTCTCTGCCCAGACGGTGGTCTCTGCCCAGGAAAAGGGGGTGAGGGTAGAGACAAGAATACAGCAGATTGAGTAGTGAGAAGGGAGAAGTAGAACCTGGGGTCTGGTGACTCTTTTAAGAGAGCCGCCAGTCCTGGCTGTGCAGCTCATTTGAGAGCGGCGTCCCAATAGGCCAAGGTTTTGGGTTCAATCTCTGATCAGGGCACATGCAAGAATCAACTGATGAATGCATAAATAAGTGGAACAACAAATCCATGTTAAGAAATTAAAATTTAAAAAAAGAGAGAGAGAGACAGCTGCCATTGGAGGGAAGAAAAGAGAGTGGAGGCCAGCTCAAGGGGGCTGCAGGATTAGGGGAGAGGGGCTCTTCCTTTGCTTATGAAGACGAAAAGCATGTGTAGGGACCTGGGGGAAAGGACCTGAGAGAGCCTGCCTTCCCCTGATGGACCTTCTTTTCCTTCTCTCCTAGGTCACGTCCAGAGCAGAAGCATGAATGATATTCCTCGCACCCAAAACCCAGACCAGGTAGTAAGCCCTTGCACTGGGCCGCCGTGAGGGTCCAGGGCAGGAAGATGCCTTTGGTTCCACGGGCAGGGAGCCCCTAGGGCAGTGATGGCGAACCTTTTGAGCTCGGCATGTCAGCATTTTGAAAAACTCTAAATTAACTTTGGTGCCGTGTCACATATAGAAATTTTTTTATATTTGCAACCATAGTAAAACAAAGACTTATATTTTTGGTATTTATGTTATATATTTAAATGCCATTTAACAAAGAAAAATCAACCAAAAAAATGAGTTTGCATGTCACCTCTGACACGCATGTCATAGGTTTGCCATCACTGCCCTATGGGCAGGACTCCATTCTCATGAAGGAGCGGGAATCTCCAGGAAGGACATATGTGTGCGGGGGGTTGGGGGGGACCCTCTGGGCTGCCTGGTGACTCTACCCACTCCATCCCTTGGGTGTTGACTGAGCCCCAAGTACTGGCTCTGTGCCTGGCCGGGGAGGGGTGGGGGACAGAGAGAAACATGCCAATGAGCTTGGGTTTGTTGGAGAGAGAAGACCAGCACGCAGGGTGTCACCTGCTGTATGGCACACAAGTACCTCTAAAGATGGAGTGGGATTGGGGCTGGTACAGACTCGCGGTGGGGCCTCCCTGTGGGGACAGCAGTGGTAGCGAATCGTTTGGACCGCCCAGCAGTGCGTCTTCTCCTTGGCTGGGCCAGGATAAAGGCAGTCCCTGCCTCCCGCCAGCCTGGCTGAAATCTCCTGATGAGATTTCCCACAACAGGTTGAGTCCACGTTCAAAGGCCCACAGCCCGGGAACCCTGTGGCTCTGCCCCTTGGGGAAGCCCAGAGGAACCCCCTCAGTTCCAACCATGCACACCTCAAGGGCAGAGTCTCATGGTCCCCTTGCTTGTGCCCCCAGGAGTGGGAAGAAGGGTGATGAAAGAGTCCTGAAATTTGGTGAAGACTTCTCAGGAGCTTGGGTGAAGGCCTGGCCTTCGGGGCACCCTAAGTTTGGTAGCAGGCGAAACAAAAACAGTCCCTCACATCTGTATCACAAGGACCGTTTGGTGGCCAAATAATAAAATAACAATAATAACAGCATCAGCCAACACTTAAGACCCACACACTGCTCGCGCCACACCATGCGTCATGAAGGTCTATATCATCTCCAATCTACTGGGGAGAACATTGGACCTTAAAGCAGTTAAATAACGTGCCCAAGTTCATGCAGCAGAAGCATGATTAGACGCAGACAGTCTGCCTAGAGCCCTTAATTTGGAAGTGACTTAGCACTGAGTATTCTGGGATATTATTTAGAGAAGATCCCACTTTAGCACACGGACAGCGGGGCCGAGATAAGGAAGCATTGCCTAGTCCCGTGGTCGGCAAACTGCGGCTCGCGAGCAACATGCGGCTTTTTGGCCCCCTTGAGTGTGGCTCTTCTTAAGCCTTAGGAGTACTCTAATTAAGTTAATAACAATGTACCTACCTATATAGTTTAAGTTTAAAAAATGTGGCTCTCAAAAGAAATTTCAATCGTTGTACTGTTGATATTTGGCTCTGTTGACTAATGAGTTTGCCGACCACATTTTCATAAATGTCTAAGTGGCAACAAGAAGAGCAGCTGTCACTTTCCCCAGGCAACGCTGCGATTTTCATAAATGTCTAAGTGGCAACAAGAGCAGCTGTCACTTTCCCCAGGCAACGCTGCCTTGATTTAGGAACTGGAGCCACGTCCCACGTCCAGCTCTCCTGACTGACCAGCTGATACTGCTTCTCGATACTGTTTGCAGCCTCAAAGGCTTGTTGTGGGAACGGCGGTTTGTCCGCCAGTGGGCGCTCTTTAGGCTCCAGCCCAGAGGCGTTTGCTCTGCAGGCTCTTTCTTCATGGCTCCCCGCCTGCCCTGGGCAGTCCGTGGGTTTCCGGTGAAGCAGAGGGTGGATTCAGACACAGTAGTTGTGTGTGGTCACTCGACAGAACTGGACCAGACTCCCTATGGGTTCAGTAAGTAGGGTCGGCAAGGCCCTGGTCCAAACCATGGCCAAGCTAGGTGGCCAGAACGGCAGCATGGCCCATTTCTGGGATGTCACCACCCCAGCCGGCCTCTTTACCAAACTGTCGCACCTGCCAGGGAGGACCACGGCCCATTTCAGCTCCTCTCCTCTCCTGGATTATGAGTGTGCTGTTGGGCTGCCCCCAAGCCTTGTTGTTTTCAAAGACTCCTTTTCCAGGGCACTCCTGCCACCCCTCTGCCCCTCCTGTCCCCTGGACCTGCTCCCCGCCTGATGCTTATGGGCACAGAGCGGGCAGGGGTCCGCGCTGCCCTGGCACACCAAGCCCTCCATCCTGAAGAATGCTGCTAATGAATCAGCTGACTGGCTGGGACAAAGGGACTTTCTGAGTTGTGAGGACTCTGGCCTTCCCGCTAACTCCTGGCCCGGCTTGTTCTCACTGCGTTAGGGTCCTTGGGGCTGTGGCCTGGGTGGTTGTAGAGAGTTTTAGTTTGGGATTGGATGAAAGGATTACAAGGGACATGGAGCTTATGGGAAACGGACATGTCTGTCCCCACAGGAGAGACCCAGGAGAAACGGGTGGCAAGCTTGTGGGGTCCGTAGGAGCTCTCTGAAGTGCTCACCTCTAACTTCTCGGCCCTTTCTTCTTTGGTGGCCACTGTGGACTTCCACCAGCCCTGCCCTCCCAGACGCTCCCTCTCCACCGTCTCTACAAGTGATCTCTGTCCCTGGCCCATCCCCTTGCTGCCCAGAGGGAAAGCGATCTGAAAAACGAGTGCATCCTAAGATGTGAGCTTGTCAGTGACCCTCCCTGGGCATGTTCCTCGTAAAAGAGGGCTCAGAAGGAATGGCGGCATAAACTCAGGCGGTGGGAACACGTTTGGGAAGAGGACTTGTCTCCAGCACCTCTCCCATCAGCCCCCTTGCTCTATTTGACTTCTTGCTCTGAACAGACACTAGCCAGAGGGCCTGGCAAGAGGGCACCTGGAAAGTCTCAGGTGTAAAGTCTCAGAAGCTATGAGTTTCCTTGTAGGTCCCCTGGGGGTGACTTGGGGCCCAGAAGTCTCCCACAGGCTTGGAGGTGTGGTCCAGGGGTTCCTGTTAGCCAGGAAGTGGTGGCAAAGGGAACATCGGCCTGGCCATCAGAAGGGGGCCGTCCCTTCCGCGGCCGCCCAAGGTGATGGGGGGGGGAGGTATGGGGGAAGCGCGGGGGGTGGGGGGGGGAGCTGCAGTGCAAGGGCCAAGGGTCCCTCTGCTTGAGCCGCAGAGGCTGGGGGATGAGACCGGACACCCCGCACGCCCTCAGCTCACACTTCAGTTGAGCAAAGTTTTTACTCATCAAGGAATGTCTTAGGGATCAAGTCGTCGCCTGCTCCTCCCTGTCTACACAGCTTAGTTGGTCCCTGAGGTTAACAAAGGTTGAGTCTCTCATCTGCAGAAGCGGGGAGAGTGGTTATTTCTCTCGGTCTCTTGAGACAGGCCGGGGGAACTTTTCCAAGTGAGGGCTCCACACCCATCTGAAGGGGGTGAGGGAGTGAGAGCTGGAACCCTGCATGTGAGTAACCATGGGCACCTCGTTTTCCCCCCTTGACCAGCGGAAAAACAAATTCATGAAGAAGATCCCCAAGGACTCAGAAGCCTCCAACGTGCTTGTGGGGGAGGTGGACTTCCTGGACCAGCCCTTCATCGCCTTCGTGCGTCTCATCCAGTCAGCCATGCTGGGAGGGGTGACCGAGGTGCCCGTCCCCACCAGGTGAGGGGCCATTGAAATCTGCCCCCCACGACCGCCTTCAGGCGACTAGCTGTCCATGCAGTCAGCATGCAGTGCTGGCGAAGACACCCCTAAAACAGGGAGGGACAATAGGGAATTGGCTGGGGAGGGAAATCTTCTCACCTGGGAAGAGTTTTAGAGCGTTTAGTTAAAGCAATCACTCGAAAGCAGGAGCCCACAGCTGGGAGAGATCTCTTGGTGGCTCTGGGACACTGGAACATGGCGAGGATGCTCGAGGGAGAGCTGTGGGAGTGACGAGGAAATGTCTTTCCAAAACAAACATGGGAGTCAAAAGAGGGAAGGGCCCGGCTGGTGTGGCTCAATGGGTGAGTCTCGACCTATGAACCAGGAGGTCATGGTTCAATTTCTGGTCAGGGCACATGCCCGGGTTGTGGGCTCGATTTCCAGTAGGGGGCGTGCAAGAGGCAGCTGAGCAATGATTCTCACCAATGTTTCTATCTCTCCCTTTCCCTTCCTCTCTCTGAAAATCAATTTAAAAAAATTTCTTTAAAGAAGAAATATTAAGCAATAAAAAAATAAATAAAAAGAAGGAATAGACAAGTTTACAGCCAGTTAAAAGGTTAAGAATGGCCCTAACCGGTTTGGCTCACTGGATAGAGCGTTGGCCTGGGTACTGAAGGGTCCTAGGTTCGATTCCAGTCAAGGGCACGTACCTTGGTTGCAGGCACATCCTCAGTGGAGAGTGTGCAGGAGGCAGCTGTGTCGATGTTTCTCTCTCATCGATGTTTCTAACTCTCTATTCCTCTCCCTTCCTCTCTGTAAAAAATCAATAAAATATATTTTAAAAAAATTAAGAATGGATACTGTTTGGAGCCAGAGAACCCTTCTCTTCACCTGCTTCTGTTTTTCCTTCTCACTTCCCTCCTCCTCCTCCTTCATCTCCTTGCAGATTTCTGTTCATACTGCTGGGGCCTTCTGGGAGAGCGAAGTCCTACAATGAAATTGGCCGAGCCATCGCCACCCTCATGGTAGATGATGTAAGTGGGAACAAGAAACGTATTCCCAATGTCATGGCTCCCGAGTCAAGCACTGAGCCTTCACTCATTCATTTATCTAATAGGCACATTGAGTACCTACTGTGTGCAGGCTCTGTGTAGGTGCTGAGGATTATGAGGATGAGGGAATAGTCATCCTCCCTCATAATAGTTGATGCCCTTTAGGAGCGTCAACCGAGTGGGAAGACAGACCTGTAATCCAGGAAGTCATAGCAGGCTTCACATGAGGGGCTTTAAAGCTACGATGAGCAGGAGGAGGTAGGTAGACCCACTATGAGCCTGGGAGGCAGGCATTCCAGACAAAGGGAACAGGGGCCAAGGTTGGGAGACAGAGAAGCTGGATGGAAGTGGTTCAACGTAGGCTCAGTGTTAGAGCTTCGAGAGCAGGAGGTGTCATAGAGAGGCGAGTCAGAGTCCACACTGAGCCTGTGGACGGAGCCCAGAGTGCATACGCCTCCAGGAGTGCCAGGGAGCCTACAGGACTTTAGCCACAGGCAGGATCCCATCAGATCTGCAAGTCAGAACAAACACTCTGGAGAGACTGTGGAATGAGGATACCGACCCTCCAAGGATGAAAGGCGAGGAAGTTACAGATTTGAAACAGCTGAGCTCCTCGTGCAGGCTCCGCACAGGTTTTCTAATGAGCATGCTCTGTGCACAACTGAAAGCAAAAAGGGTGCCACGCAACAAAAGTCCGACAGTCAGATGCAGAGACCCGGCCTTCATATCCACGAGGGACCAGCTGTCCCCAGGGCTGCTGTTTCCCAGTGGCCTTACGTCCTGCTGGGGGTGGTTCTCATTTCAAAATCTGAGAGCAAATTGGCAGCAGGAGCAACGGGTCAACGTGATTTTCTCCCAGCGTGCTCCCGGGAGGTGGGTAACAAGGAGACGTCGGGCAGAGAGCTGACTGTTCTCCTCCCCCTCACGGCCAGCTCTTCAGCGACGTGGCCTATAAAGCCCGCAATCGGGAGGATCTGATCGCTGGCATCGACGAGTTTCTGGATGAGGTCATTGTCCTTCCGCCTGGAGAATGGGACCCAAATATCCGAATCGAGCCCCCCAAGAAGGTGCCCTCTGCAGACAAGAGGTGAGTATGTGAATGGAGGGGTGGTGAGGGCAGGGAGTGGTACAAGGGAAACTTCAAGTCTGGCCCTTTCTTTTCTCATTTTGGATTTAAAAGGACGATGTCACCATATTGGGGATTATACCTTTCCCCCCCCCAGTTTCATTTTATTTATCTCTTAAAATAAATTCAGAGGCAAATAAGCTGAATTTAAACATCTGTAAAATCTGGGTGACCTGTGTGTGGGTATTGTTCCATCATTTTCCACATTTTTCTCCATATTTTAAGATATTTTATAATTTTTGTTGGAGAAATAAGAGGTGTTCTGGGAACAGTTCGGGGGGGGGGGGGTTTGAGCCCTTCCCAGGATTGAGAGCCCCATGTCCGAGGTCCCCCTTCTTCTTCCAGGAAATCGGTGTTCTCCCTGACCGAGCTAGGCCAGATGAACGGCTCTGTGGCGGGAGGCGGCGCGGCGGCAGGAGGCGGCCCTGGAGGTGGCAGTGGCGGTGGTGGGGTCGGCGGAGGGAGCAGCACGGATGACAGAGAGATGCCGGCCAAGCACGAGATCGGGGAAGAGCTTATCTGGACAGGAAGGTGCCCACCCCAGGCCTGGCATCCTTTAGATGCGTCTCCTTCCCACCCTCCCTGCAGGAACCTTCCCCACCTCTCCCTGCAGCGCTCCCTCCGCACCATGAGGTCTGGCCCGGGGTCATTGTCCTCTTTTCTCCCCCATACCCTCAAAGCCCCTCCTGCACCCAGCAGAAGGGTTTCCACAGGCGAGGACAGGCGGGACCCAGCACAGGAATGGAGGAACCCAAACTTTTCTTTAGACTCCCCTTGTGACCTCTGTTAGTTTTCCTGGGCTGCCACCAGCAAGTATCACAGATGAGGTGGCTTCAACCACAGAACTTGATTCTCTCGCAGTTCTGGAGGCTAGAAGTTTCCAGTCGGAAGGTCAGCAGGGCTGTGCTCCCTCTGAGGCCCTGGGGAGAACGCTTCCTTGCGTCTGCCTAGCTTCTGGCGGTGCTGTCAGTCCCCGTGTTCCCTGTCTGCCTCCATTGTCACATGGCGTTCTCCCTCTCCGTGTTCACATGCACTTTCCTCTTCTTATGAGGACACCAGTCATATTGAATGGGGGCCCACCCCAATGACCTCGTCCTAGCTCCACTGCATCTACAAAGGCCCTGTTTCCAAATGCGGTCACATTCACAGGTGCCAGAGGTTAAGATTCCGAGATGCCTTTTGGGAGAACACAGTGAACCTGTGTTATAATCTGGGCTGTCTCCACCTCGGATTCGGACACAGCTGTGTTTACCGAGCTCCGGTGCCCTGCAGATGTCAGGGACGTGAGGAGGACAGCTGTCTGTGGACCCCAGGGTTTCCATTCCCCGTGCAATGTTAGGTCTACCCCAGGGCATATTCCCATCAGGCCTTCCTTCCCCCTCCCATCCAAGCTGTTTATGACCACGCTTCTCAGTGGAGATGGCGCCGACCTCAAACTTTCAGTGCCAAGAGAACTCTTCCCTGGTCTTAAACGTTCTGGTGGAAAGATCCTTGCCCCCATCCACTGCTAGTCAAGTCCCCTTCCTCGCCCCAGACTCTGCGGACCTGTTGACAGCCCTGCCCCTGCCCTGGTGTTTGTGGTGAGAAAGCAGCGCTGGGGCCTGTCTTAAGCAGGTGCTTCGGGGGCCTGTGCCTGGATGTCAAGAGGAAGTTGCCCTGGTTCCTAAGTGACTTCTACGATGGCTTCCACATTCAGTCCATCTCTGCCATCCTATTCATCTACCTCGGCTGCATCACCAACGCGATCACCTTTGGAGGGCTTCTGGGGGACGCCACTGACAATTATCAGGTGTGTGTCCAGGACATGAGTGCAAACCTCAGTAAAATCCGCTGCCACTGGGTGGCAGTAAGGAGCTTTGTCCTATAATCTCCAAACCAAGTCTACCCTTCAGGCTCAGACCATCACTTTTAGTAATCCTTTACCCTTCAAAAAGTTAGTAACAAGATCTTAAAAGACCTACTAGTAAGGCTAAATCATGTTACTAAAGACTAAATTTAAAGACTGTGTAAATCCAACTTTTAAGGGGAATCATCTGCTCTATTTGATACTTTCCACACTGCTTGAATGAACTTAACACAATTAACAAGTTGTTGATTGTGGCCTTCTCCTCACACTTAAAAAACACGACCAACCTAAAATTCTTAACTTGGAGTTATTACATATTTAGAATGATGATAAACTGTTTCCATGACAATACAGGCCTCCCTGGGGAAAACACCCGCTCAGCAGACATTCGCCTGAGCTCCAAACAAGGGTCTTCTCTGAGGAGGGCCCTCGAGAGAGAACCACTAGAAAGCTCAAATCATTAAGGTGAAGACACGTTTTCCCAGATAAATTGAGATGAACCCCTATTGCCAGTCCACACCACTCTCCTGAGCTGCAGGTCCAATATCCAGTTGCTTCTGGACCTATCCATATGGGATCCATATGGGATCTCCCAACTCTCAGTGCCTACATGGCACCCACTATCTTCCCTCCAGACCTGCTGTTCTACCATCACAGCTGGCGACACCATGGTTCACCCCGTTACCCACGTACCAACTCAATAACCCAGCTTCCCCGAGTGGCCCTCATAGCATGGTCATACCTGCTCTCACACCTCATCTCCCAGTGTTCCCTTCTCAGATACCTATCCGCCTCACGCATTCTGCATTGTTTTCCATCAATCCTTTTTCATCGCTCAGTTCCTCAAAGCCATGCTCCCTTCAGGTCCAGCCTTTGTATACAGTGTTCCCTCTTCCTGGGACACTCGCATCACTCCACTTCCTCTCCGGTCAGTTTTGGGTATCAGCTTCCACATATCTACCACTGGAGAGCCTTCCTCACCGCTCCTTTATTCCTACTGTGTGCTCCTCTGGCACCCTCACCTTATCTCAGCTTCTCATACTCCTTAGCAGTGGTTCTCAACAAGGGATGATTTTGACCCACCAGGAGACATTGGTAGTATCTAGAGATCGTGTGGGTTGTCATAACTGGGAAGGGGTGCTACTGGCATTTAGTGGGTAGCGGCCAGGGATGCTGCTAAACACCCTGCAAGGCCCAGCACAGCCCCCACACAGAGAAGTATCAAGCTTGAAATGTCAGTAGTACTGAAGTTGAGAAACTGCTGTATAGAAATTGCCTGGTTACTTGTCTGTATCTCCCACTAGACTGAAAATGCATGATCTTGTTTACTGATTGGTCCCCAGTAGTTAGCACAATGCCTGATACATAGTAGGCACTTAGTGAATTTTGAATGAATTAATGGCCTAATCTCCAAAAGCACCGTAGAATGACTGAGTGATGGATGGGTAAATGGGCTGTCCTCTCAGAGTAGCATGGGCACGGGACCAGTAGAACCATTGGCAGCCCTGTTTCCTAGGTCCCGGGGTGCCAAAAGGAAGTCACACAGGACCTTCATCCCAGTGGAATTCGAGTGATGTGGGGGGTGGGGTAGGAGATGAACAGAATTTGGGAAGCAGAGGGCCTAGAATAAAGGATGAGCACTGTGGCCTGGGTCCCTGGTGAGACAGGTATGATCTGTTTTGTGCCAAAGGACCCCTTCTGTCTCCCGGAGCCTCACATTGCTTGTGCCCCCAGGGAGTGATGGAGAGCTTCCTGGGCACCGCCATGGCCGGCTTCTTGTTCTGCCTCTTCTCGGGACAGCCTCTCATCATCCTGAGCAGCACAGGGCCCATCCTCATCTTCGAGAAGCTCCTCTTTGACTTTAGCAAGTAGGTGTTCCTCGGGCGGTCTGCTGAGACGGGGGTGGGGGAGGCAGGGGCGAGCAGGTCCAAAGCTGTCTTTACCTGTGCAGAGAGCACTGCCAGGTGGTCCCCCTGACTTCCTCTGGCTGCCTGCCCCTAAGTCATCTTAGTGTATATTAGCACAGCGGATAGGGAGACATCCAGGCAAGAGGAGAGGAGAGAATTCACAGCACTCTGCTGTGAGCAATGGTGACTTGGAAGTCAGTGCAGGGTGTGAGAAGTTGAGCTGGAGGTCGGAGGGCTCCATTCTAACCTGGCCAGCCATGAAGCCATTCTAAGGCCTGCCCCAACCATCAGACTGAAATTCCTTATTATTATTTTTTTTCATTCACATGTTTGTTACCAAAATGTGAGAACTGAGATGTCTTAGACTTAGCACCTTCCTGTCATCCCATGAGATCCTTTTTCAGAATTCTCAAAAACCAGACAACCCCACCCAGGAATTGTCCTAATTGTCCCTATCCCCAGTCCTCTTTCAGTTCCTAGGAGGGCATCTGTGCCATAGGAGGGACAGATGAGTCATTCAGGGGATGCCTGGGGAGCCAAGCCACAGCCCAGAGCCTTGGGCTGGAGGCCCCTCACTTTCCTCTGCCTTCCAGAGGCAATGGCCTGGACTACATGGAGTTCCGCCTCTGGATTGGCCTGCACTCAGCCATCCAGTGCCTTGTCTTGGTGGCCTCGGACGCCAGCTTTATTATCAAGTACATCACCCGCTTCACTGAGGAGGGCTTCTCCACCCTCATCAGCTTCATCTTCATCTATGATGCCATCAAGAAGATGATCAGTGCCTTCAAGTACTACCCCATCAACATGGACTTCAAGCCCGACGCCATCACCACCTACAAATGCGAGTGCGTCGCTCCGGACACAGGTGAGCAGTAACCCCAGTGGTGCCCTGGACCCCCACCCACCCACCCTATCCCCCTCATCTGTGTCTCTTCTCAAATGCAGGAGGGTGAGCTTGCTTTGAAGGGCACCTCCTGTCCCAAGAGGGCAAAGGCAGAGTCTTGAACCCCGTGTTTGGAAGAAAACCAAGGGGACAGTAACTCTAATGAGGGTGATGCTACCAGAGCCCAGGGGTGTAATCAGAGAATAAAGGAACTGGAACCAGGACAAGTTGTTTTGATTAGAAGAATATGAAAAGGAAAGTTCTAGACATTTAGGAGACTGGGGACGGGTAACTAACTGAGGAGGGTTTCTCTCCCAATCCACGGACCACTTGCTTGCTAATGGTTCATCTTCCCAGTGTTACTGCAAAACCAAGTCGGACTGTGACACAGTCACTCGTTGTCACTCTGCAGCACAAAGGCTTGTTTGGGGCACTTTCTTTTTCAATTTACTCTTGTTTCCGTTGTAACTGACTTGTGTTCTGTTTATGGATGCTGCACACACTGACTTGGCTGCACTCAATCCCAAGTGAGTACCATTTGCAAACACTAGAATTTCAAACTATTTGATACCGGGACACTCTCTGGATCTCCCAGGTTATAATTCTTCCTTCTTCACCTCAAAGCGGCTTTCCGATAAACCCTACAAAGTTCCCCACATAAAGGAATGGCTGAGCCTCAGCAGAGGACATCACAGGAGTGTCTGGTGTGGTTGGCAGTGGGAGGAAGCCCAGCTCACAGGCCCAGGCAGTAGCCGGAAGCCCCCGCCTGTTGAGTGGTAGACTTGAGCCAGCCTTCATGCCACCTTTTCTGTTTGTTGTTAATTGTGCATCACGTCTTCTTGGTCAACGGCGTGAGGAAAGGCAGCAAATGTCCCTGATTTCTAGGAAATGACGCTTTCCTCAGAATAATGGTCACAGCCCTCTGGGGCAGCGGTCGCCAAGCTTTTGGACCTCGCGGACCACCAGTGGTCTGCGGACCACCAGACCGCTGCTCTGGGGTGTGGAGCTGCTAGGGGTGTTGTGACCTAGGTCGCAGCTAGGTCCCTTCCCCACGTCCCGGAAGTGAGCAGCTTAGAGGGCCCTGTGGTCACATCCACCCATGACAGCTTGTTGGGAGCTGATGGAAGCTTCGAGAATAACCTCTTCTGCCCTCTGGGCCCCTAACCACAGCCAGCAGGAGCCACATGGGGCTGGCAGCGCAGTTCAGATTTGTCACCAGCTAACTGGCGGGCAGGCCTGCTCCCTCCCCAAACCTGCTGCAGAGGTACCGCTCAGTCAGCCTTCCCTGGAGGAGGAGGGCGGGAGGACTTGGCCCTTGCGCACCCATGCAGGGCAGGAGCAAGAGAGAGGGCAGAAGTGGCCCTCCAAGACCTGCCTGTGTAGTGAGTGGCCACGCCCCCCAGGGCAGGCATCACAGGTCCTCTCAACTCTTCTCACTGCCCTGATGGAACCCTCACCAGCTCCACTTAGAGTTAGGGGTGCTGAGGCTGGACTGGGTTTGTTTCCTCAGCTTCCACTGGAGCAAGCGCAGGTTAGAGAAGATAACGTCAAAGCCAACCAGCTCTGCAGGCCCAGCTGACCTGAAAACCAGCCAACCAACCAAACAAACAAAAACAGCCCATGTGGACAGGCCCGGGCCGGGGCCGGGGAGAAGGGAAGTGTGTGCGGAGAGGAGTAGGACAGGGAAGGCGCTCGCTGTGTGGAGCTGGGAGGTGTCTAGGCTCTGGGCCAGCCTGCCTGGGCTGGGTCTGGCTCCTCCAAGTATGAGCTGTGTGACCTTGGGCAATGGGCAGGCTACTTGACCTCTCTGGGCCTCAGGTACCTCATCTTTAAAATGGGGGGACTTTCTTTAAAATGGAGGGACTTTTTTCAGATTAGGGACTTAGCCAGATGGTATGTGTAAAGGTTCGGCAAGGTGCGTGGCACAGAGCTAAGTTCTTGGAAAATGTTTAAAGACGTGGGTCCAGTGGCCGGTAGGGATGCACAAGGCACGTTGTTCACTGATGTGTGTCAGCGCTTGGTCTTGGCAGCAGCTCCCTTACTTCAGGTTGTAGAGCCAGCCCTTCAGCATCAGAGAGCAGCTGCCTTAGCCTGGCCCAGCTGGTCTTGGAGCTATGGTTGGGGCAGAGGGGAGGCCCCCCCACCTCCCTGCCCCCCCACCCCCCGCTGTCCCTGGACAAAGTGAGGAGAGTGCAGAGGGGTGGGGCTTGATGAACCGCCCTCACAAAGAAGCCAATCCCTGGCTCTATGGGTCTGGAGGAAGATGGGAAGAGTGGGGGCCGGGGAGGGGGGTCACAGGCCCCCTGCCCAGGAGCTGCTGACCCTCCCCATGTCCTACGCTCACCCACAGCGAACATAACCGGGTTCAATGCCTCAGCCCTGCTGCCACCAAACACCAACACTTCTCTGGTAAGTCCTTTCCTCTCACCACTTGCGAGCTTTGTGGGGAGAGTGGGAAAGTTGGGAAACTGAGGCCATCTTATGGCAACCCAGACTTGCAGAGGTCAACCCAGCTGCCCGTCAGGGTCCCCTGTGGAGCCTTGTCAGTGCACATGTGAGTTTTATGTATAGTCTGTCAAAATCCCTTTTTTTATAACATGCCTTACTCCATAAGATGTATGTGCATAAATATCACACACACAGACACACCAGGGCGGTAGACATGAGGAATGAAGAAGGCTGCATAAACAACGCTGTGAACAGTTTCCCATCCACCCTTCTACCTCTTCCTGCCTTTCTACCTGGGATCCCCAGGTCCCACATGCAGGCCCCTCCCTGTTTACTTCATATTCATGCCCCCTCCTCACTGTGTCTGGTCTGTCCTGTGCTCAGGGGCCCCAGGCCCTCAGACCTGGCCTGCTTTTCCCAATAATAATGAGCGGTAGCCCCCATTATTAGGAGGGAAAAAAGGAGAGTAATTTATAATAAAATGTAATGTCTATTGTAAAAATTTAATGCGTAAAGATTCAGGCTCCAATGGTGGGAAGTCCGAAACCAGGTGAAGGGTAGGTTGGCGCTCGGGGAGATTCCTGAGCCTCTCATGTCCCTAAGGTCGCTCCTTCAGTCACCCCCGCACAGGTAGCCGAGGGCTCCGTTGGCAATTTAACCTAAGATTTTTCAAATATCTGATCTTGAGAGAGGAGGAGTGGCATCAGCCAGCGCCTGTGTCTGAGTACTTGTTATCCGCAAGGTGCTGTGCGCTCTGTGAGGGCTAAGAAGTCATGTGGGAACGACCCGGTTCTGCCCGCAGACCTGCTTGTCCTAAGCCCGTGGAGAGGAACCTGGAAGGTCCCGGGCAGCACACGCAGAGCTACCGTGTGCCACACAGGCCGAGGTGCGCTCCCGAGCTGGGGGGAAGGCCTCCTGCAGACCCTGGGATGCCCTCTGGGCTTAAAGGCCGGCAACGTGGCTTCTGTAGAGAGAAGTACGTTCCCATTCCAGTCGAGGGACCAGCACAGACAGAAGGGCACAAGAGGGAAAGCACAAACCTGTGCAGGACAGTGAGTGAACCATCGGCTGAGACAGTGTGAGGTGAGAGTCGTGCACGGAAACCACAAGAGATGAGCTGGGAGAGAGACGTTGGGCCAGACCAGTGGAGAGTAGAGGCATGCTACCCTGCAGAGGGCGTGTTTACTGGCTACAGTGATTCAGGGACACCTGGCATTAGCAGACAGCTGGGCCTCTCCATGGGTTTTTCTCCCGCCCTGAGCCTTCTCACAGCACCGTGGCCTCCCGGTTCCAGAGGGTGAGAGCAGATGCTAAGGCCCCTTGAGGCCGCGGCTCAGAACCTGCTCAGAGCCACTTCCTCTCCATCCTGTGGGTCTCAGCGGGCCCCGTGGAGCCCAGATTTAAAGGGGCGGGAAATAGACTGCACCTTTTGATGAGAGCTGTCAGTGTCACATCGCAAAGCAGCGTGGACACAGGGAGTCATAATTCATTGGGGCATTGTCATATGGCAAACCACCACGCTTCTCTTATCCACACATCCATTATAGCTGCAAGCATCTGTTTACTTCATTATGTACGTGCCTGAAATTTACACATTAAATTTTTTAAAAATATGTTAAATTTTATTACAAATTACTCTCCTTTTATTACACTTAGAGACATATATGAATATATATGTGGGTATATACATATATGCATATATGTACACATAGGTACACTTATATGTATGTATATATATGTTAAGAACATATACTGTATATGTATGTATATATAAATATGTGTATAGGAATATACATAAGAATATATCATATACATTCCTCCATATTTATACATATAAAATGGTTGCGTGCCCTGGATTTTGGGCATCGGGGACACCAAAAGGGGAAGTGCCTGAAGCAGCTGACCAAGAAGGGTCAAACAAGGGTGGATATGAGCCCCAATATGTGAGAGGGTGTGTACAGGGATAGGAAGGGGAAGAGTACGTGTGAGACACTCCAGGAAGGTGAGCTGAGCTGGGAGCAAGGCCCGCGGAGGAGGAGGAGGAGGAGGAGGAGGAGGAGGGCATCCCACCCTCTGCTTTTCCTCCGTGCGAACACAGCAGTGCATCCTAGAACACAAGTAAGAACACATCTCAGCTTCTACTCTCCCCCGGAGCCTCCTGTGGTCCTTCCTTAAAGCAACCTGCCTCCAGGAGCATCGTTCTGTGGCTGGGCCGTGGGGCAGAAAGGCTCGGGCCCCTCAGAGAGCAGGAGGGGCGTGTGGGCTGCCTAGGACTGCAGGGAGCCGGGAGGGGGGGCCGGGGGGGACAGAATGAGGGGGCACAGTTGACCCATGAGGATGGCCCTGACCCTTTCTCTCCTGTGCTTGGTCTCCAAGTACAACCCCCTTAACCTCACAGCGCTGGACTGGTCCCTGCTGAGCAAGAAGGAGTGTCTGAACTACGGTGGCCGCCTGCTCGGGAATTCCTGCCAGTTCATCCCAGACCTGGCACTCATGTCCTTCATCCTTTTCTTCGGGACGTACTCTATGACCCTGACCCTGAAAAAGTTCAAATTCAGCCGCTATTTTCCTACCAAGGTAAGCTCACCCTGCAGTTAGAAGGGGGCCTACAGTCAGACTGCTCACAAGATCTCCCTGAAGAGTTTCTGACCCGCCCGCAGGATGGACACGTCAGCACTGGCTCACTGAGGTTTCTCAGGTTAACAGCGCAGACCTGGAGTCAGAGAGCTGGGCCCCCTTGTTGTTAAGGACCCTTGATGACACTTGGTATTGCCAGACTTTTATCTTTAGCCTTTTTGGGTAGTAGTACCTCTGTGGTTTTTAAATGTCCACTTCTCTGATGTGTTGCAGCTATCTTCTCACACTCTTTTATTGGCCTTTGTAACTTTCTTAATGATATCTTTTTGTTAATAGAAATTATTAATTTTACTACAATCAAATATATCAAAATTTTCCTCGAGGAAAATATTGGACAGAAGATATTCTCTAATGTTATCTTCTAAAAGTTTTATTGTTTTCCTTTCATATTAGATCTATAATCTATCAGAATTGCTTTTGCAATATAGTATGAAATAGTATTTCTCTTTTTTTTAATAGATCGCCATTTATTCCAGCACTTTAAAAAAATCTTTCTTTCCCCCACTGCTCTCCAATGCTTCCTTTGCCATTTATCAAATTTCACACATGGTGGCGTCTATTTCTAGGTTCTTTATCCTGCTTCATTGGTTTATTTGTATGCCAATATCACAATCTTCACAATCTTACAATAAGTCTGTATATCTTACAGACCAACCTCTCCCTCTTTGACCCTTTTTTCAATAATGCCTTGGCCTTTTTCATTTCTAAATAAGTTTTAGAATCATCTTAAATTTCACCAAAATAAAAACTTACTGGAGTTTTGATAAGATTATATTGACTCTACATGTCAATTTGGGGGAAAATGACAACCTTCAAATTTTGAATCTTCTGATCCATGAATATGGTATAACTCACCATTTATTAAGATCTTGTTTCTTTTCATAATGTTCTAAATTAATTACATATGTTATTTTAATACCCGTTTTAAAGGGGAGTAGGAGGTACAGGGAACGAATTCATTGTGCCATACGTAGCCTGCCCCTGCCCCTCCTAATTGCTTTCCCTATTGTTCTCTGGAAACTGCTGTCTCTGAAGAGATACAAAAAGGGTGACAGGGTAGCCGGTGGTGTGGAAGGGCGGTCAGAGGGCAGGGAGATGAGGTCCAGAGCCTGGCCTAGGATGAGCCTCCTGAAACCGAGGAGCAAGAGGCCACGGACTCTTAGTGGAAAGAAGGTCTGAGGGTAGCCAGGGGCCTGGGTGGCAGAGCAACAATCTGTCACACATTTTTAGGAGCTAAGGTTTTCTTCAGAGTTGAGCCGTTGTCCTTACCAGCACTGTTGGGTGATGCAGTTCAGCCTGTCACACCAAAAGATGGCAGCAATGGCTGCCATGCCATGTGCATAACAACAGTTCCCACCTGGACTAATAAATGCCAAGCCCTTGGAATGCATCATGGCTCACTTATGCCAATGAGGTAGTTGCTATCCTTCTCCTCATTGAACAGATAAGGAAACCAAGGCTCTGAGAGATGACATGCTTTCCCAAGATCACATAGCCAGTGAGGGCCGAGCCTAGGTCAAGCCCACTCTCGTAACCATCCTCCTCTTTGCTGCCTGGGAACTAGATCCACTGCAGGTGGGTGGCTCTTTCAATCACTTGCTCATCTTTTTGCAGATCCGGGCCCTGGTAGCTGACTTTTCCATTGTCTTCTCCATCCTGTTGTTCTGTGGAATCGATGCCTGTTTCGGGCTGGAAACCCCCAAGCTGCATGTGCCCAGTGTCATCAAGGTTTGCTCTGGGCAGTAGCTCTGCTGCTCACCGGCTGCAGATCTGGTCCCCTCTACACTGATCCGACTGTCAGGACGCTCAGCCAAGTGACCCTGCGGGTTCTCTGTGCATGCTCCACCCTGCCTGAGCAGAACAGCCGCCCAGGGGAGATCCTTTGAGCTGACGGGCTGGGGCCATATTCACAACGAAACCCCACTGTGTGGCCACAGAGTGGGGAGGTGATGGGATCTAGCTGAAGCCCTTGATTGCCACTTGAGGGCCTACAATTCCCTGACTGTTGGCAGCCTGCAGCTTGGTCGCCTGGGTTCTGTTGAAAATGACCCTTTAGAACAGTGATTCTCAAAGTGTGGTCCCAGACCAGTATCAGGAGAGCCACTGCTTCAGAAATCCCCCAGAGTCCACAGTTTGTGCCATTCTTGTAGCTAAGCTTGAGTCCCACTACCTCCCGAGGAGCACCCTTCTTCTGTATGGGGCTGGGAGGTACGGGTTCCAGAACTGGCCCTTCCTGACTTTGAGGGCTTGAACTTCACAATATCACTTCAAGGTTCTCCTAGGGAGCTTAAGCACAGCCCATCAAACTGGTGTTGGTCTTGAAAATCAAAGCACCTCTTTCTCTTAAGTAAAACAAAAACTAAACCACAGCATAGATAACCCCTTATTCTCAATATGCATTGATGTTCAGTGTTTTACAGACAATTGTGTACTAATGCTCCCCAGACAGGTGACTGGAAGGAGAGCATCAGGCAGTGGGCCCATCAAATTCTTTATTCTTGCCTGTTGGGCCTCATTTCTGCATCTTTTTAGTTTGCAATTAAGTGGTGGCTCCAAGCTCCCTCCCAACACCCTCTGCCTATGCACCACCCCGTTTCCTAACCAACCCTGGGCAGCTGCCACACTGATCCCCTTGGTTCCAAAGACAGGAAGACATGGGGTCCTTCCCAAATCTGTCTGCCTTAGGCTCTCTTTGTCCTAAAGTTGCAGGTGTCATGTCTTTAAGGGAAAAGATTGCACTTGAAAAGAGCCCCAGGGGGAGGCAGGAAGGCAGGGAGAGGGGGGCCCTGGGTGGCAAGTGCACTGGGACAAGGGAGAGAGGAAAGGACCCTCTCTCTTTGCTCCACTAGCCCACAAGGGCAGACCGAGGCTGGTTCGTGGCCCCTTTTGGGAAGAACCCATGGTGGGTGTACCCAGCGAGCATCCTGCCTGCCCTGCTGGTGACCATCCTGATATTCATGGACCAGCAGATCACAGCTGTCATCGTCAACCGGAAGGAAAACAAGCTGAGGGTAAGGCTGGAGCTAGGAGCAGGGGCACAACCTCCCGCATTCCACAAAGTCAGAAGGAACTAAGGGGACAGATGGTGAATCTGTCAAAATTCTGAGCCATTTCTGAAGCAATATATGAGGCCAGAAGACTGAGTTCTGGTGTGGGGGAGAAATGTGACCTGCAAATGCAGTAAGGCCCTCAGGGCCAGAGTGACTTAATCCAAAGACCAGGACCAAGTCCAGCGTGGGCCACTGGGCACCTTGCTTCTCCCAAGGAGACCCTCCAGCTCTGTTCCTGACAGTGGCCTTGGGAGTCAGAGCAGATGCTAACGGGATTTTGACCCAGAACCATGAGGCAGAGGGGCATCTTCTGGTTCCTGCAGCTCCCCTCCCTGCCTCTGGGTCTGGGGAGATTCAGGCTACCCTCTCCCCCACCCCAGTCTGGACCTCTCTAGGTTTGGTCTAGGGCCTGTCCCCGCCAGGACCCCATCCAGGAACTGCAGAGACATTGTGGCCACTCGTAGGAGCTCTTCTTCCCAAGGACTCAAGCCCAGGGCGTCTTCAAGTCTGAACACCCCTCCCCTCCCTCACCTGCGCCCCTTCCCTAGCTCGCCAAACCCTGAGGCTGATGAGCCTGAGCCCTGCAGGATGGCAGCCCCTCATGTTCTCTCTGGAACAGTGGTTCTCAACCTTCTGACCCTTTAAATACAGCTCCTCATGTTGTGCCCCAACCATAAAATTATTTTCATTGCTACTTCATAACTGTAATGTTGCTACTGTTATGAATCGTCATGTAAATATCTGATATGCAGGATGGTTTTAGGAGACCCCTGTGAAAGGGTTGTTCAACCCCCCCAAGGGGTCGCGACCCACAGGTTGAGAACCGCTGCTCTAGAAGGTCAAGGGGAGCCCTGAACCATGCTCCACCAAATGACTGCTTCAGGGAGATTTCTGTCTCACCCCCACCCTGTCAGCAACAGGCTCCTAGACTTCTCCTCTTCTGCCCCTGCAGAAGGCTGCTGGCTACCACCTGGACCTGTTCTGGGTGGGCATCCTTATGGCGCTGTGCTCCTTCATGGGGCTCCCCTGGTACGTGGCTGCCACCGTCATCTCCATTGCCCACATCGACAGCCTCAAGATGGAAACGGAGACCAGTGCCCCAGGGGAGCAGCCCCAGTTCCTGGGGGTCAGGTAGGTGGGGCTCTGGGCCTGGGGACCCCCTGAGCAGGAGTGGTCAGTTTCGGGGAGGGGAAGCAGGTTTATTTTACCATCAAGGTATTTGCGCAAAAGGGGCCCCGGCTCTGACAGCTCAGGAGCCACATGGAGAGCAGTGGTATTTCTGAAGGGAGTGAGGAGGGAGATGAAAATTCAGTTCTGAGTGATACTTTTTGTCTCAATGGATTCCAAGCACCACCATAGCCTGTATCCGCACTCTCAGCTCTCGCCTATATGGGCCCCTCAAAAGCCCCACAGGCCACGTCTGACCTGTCCCTTTGCCTCCTCTCCAAGAAACCCTGCCCTCAGAGTCCCCCAAAGCCCTCCTGTGGGGCTCGATCTCCATTCCCTCAGAGAGCCTTCTGGACCGTCCCCACTCCTGTCACCTCAGTTCCTCTCATGTCCATGTCAGGTCCCTGATCTATTTCAGACACAGAAGCACACCTTCCCCCTCTGAGGTTCTCCGGGGTGAGCCCACCCCACACACTGGCCTTCTCAGAAGTGGTTGTCCTTAGAGCTTTCCCCACTGCCCCAGGAGACCCCACTTGCCCATTCTGCCCAGAGTGAGACTTCTCTGGTCAAGGTAGGGTCCCCTCCCAGACCCCAGAGCCCCCAGCTCCCACCTGCGCCATGTCTGGACCTGGGCACACACGGGAACACCCACATGCTCTCCTGCCCCTCGGTCACACCTGCTCCGCCAGCAGCCAAGCCCCCTCCCCCCAATCCTCATTAGTCGTGCCCTACAAATGTGGGATCTTATTGTACTCAAAGGACAGAGGTAAGAAGCACTTTATATCCCATTTCTTTCTCACAACAACCAGCCCCCAGGTGGTGCCATTATCTCTCTTCTACTGAGGTGAAGACATTTAGGGCCTGATGCCACACAACTAGTAAGGGGCAGAGCCCGCCTAAGTCTATCAGGCTCAAGCACCCCCACTATTAGTCACTGCACTGGACAACCTCCCAACACCCCTACAGAATACCCTCGCCTCTGCCGGGCTCCCTCTCTTTCGTATGTGTGCTCAGCTGGGCCTTGAGCAGCAGGCTTACTCTCTGGAATGGGGGGACAAGGCAGAGGCCAGGGCCTTGGCCATAACCTTGAGGTGCCCACAGAGGGTCATGAAATGGTCATGGAGCATCTCCCAGTCTACCTGACCATGTGCTCTTCTCTGCCAGGGAACAGAGAGTGACCGGCACCATCGTCTTCATCCTGACGGGAATCTCCGTCTTCCTGGCTCCTATCCTGAAGGTGAGGCCCTGCACCCTCCCCAGGACCCTGTCTGCCTGGGAAACCACTGGCCTGATGCCCCAAAGGTGGGGCAGGGTCCCACATGGCCCCTAAAAAGGCAGGATTCTATTAGGCCTAAGAGATGTTTCATCATCATCATTGCTTTCTGGAAAATTGTATCAGCAGCAGCAGCAGTCGGCCTCGCTGTTCTACCCACCCGCGCAGGGTCCACCTCACCTTTCTGTGAAACGCTTCCCTCAGAAAGTTCTGCCAAGGTCCCTCGCTTAGATCAGGAGCTTCCTGAGCTGGTTGTGTGTCCATGTTGCTGTGTTTATGGCTCACGAGAGGCCTCCTTGCTTTAAAGCTTGCAGGGAGGCTTCTCTACGTGTTCGTGGGGCCTGTTTCCTGCGTTTCTGTCTCACATGTATTGGGCACACAAGTGACTTTTCCAACTCAGTCTGAAGCTCCTCTTGCTCATGTCCCTCCAGAGCAGCTGGAAGAGACGAAATCAAACGGGAGTCCCTTTGGAGTGTGTCCTCACCTGAGATCCTGAGGGTTAGGACTTCACATGAATTCTGGGGACACAGTTCCTCCCGTAACACCTATCAGTGGCCCTTTCCCATAATCACGGCCCACAAAGACTTTGCTGTCTTGAGTTCATCCTGGTTGTAGCTGCCCCAATCTTATGCAGATATTTCCCCCTATGAATATCTCAAAGGACTCATTCAGGGTGACGGTATGAAAAACAAAAACGCAAGAGCCACGATGTTAATGGATTCCTTTGCCATGGAAAGTATTTCTAGCTTGAGAACTGGTGTTGTTCCTTTACATTTTTGCCTTGTTTCATAATTCAGCAAACATCTCCCAAACCGTGTACAAACGGAAGGATGCCATGGCCCCACATTTCCTTTCTTTCAGCTCAAATCTCTTAGGTTTACAGCATATGGGTCCAAGCCATGCTTTATGTTCAAAAAATGAACAGTCTAATTTCTTTTAAGAGAGAGGACGTTTGTTTGGTTAGATTTATTGACCTGCTGAAATGGTATCTAACTGTTGGGCATGGTACTTTAGTTCTCCCACGTCACATGCTCCAACACAAAACCCCGGGGAGTGAAGCAGGGCAGCCTGGTTCATGGTGGCGAGCCGCATGTGCAGCTAAAGTGAAAGGAAAGTAGAAACACAGCTTAGAGAGACCGTGGAGAAATACCTCAAAAGGCTTCTAAAGAGTCATAATGGTGACTACAGGACAGTCCAATGATATGATCCCATTGTTGAAAAAGTAAGCACCCTACCTGTGAGCACTAGTGGTGAGTTGGTGAATAGTGGTGGTTGGCATGTACATTGTTTTTCTTCTTGTTTCTTTCTTTTTTTTTAATTTTTAATATATATTTTATTGATTCTTCACAGAGAGGAAGAGAGTGCTGCAGAGAGCTAGAGACATTGATGAGAGAGAAACATATGGCATTATGCCCTGTTTTACAAGCATGTTAAATGCTTTTCCCATGAGAAAAAAAGGAGAACTTGGTATTCATTGCTTAGGAAACAGAAATGCTGGTTTCTTTGGGCTGTTCTGCTACTTTCTTCCTAAATACTCAGATGTCAATAGCAATTCTAGGAGGTGCTGATGTAGGTCTCTCACTAAAGGCCCCCAGCTCCCTACAAGGTGAGCAGCCCAGCTTTGGGCCCTCAGCGGGGACTTGAAGTGGGAAGAGACAGACAGGAATAAGCAGGGGCCTTTCTATGGAGCTTTCCCATGTTCCAGAAGCTATGTCTTCAGGCCACATGGCTCTCCAGGGCCCAAAGCTGGGGGCCAGGCTGGGGGAGCACTGCACACTGGACGGGCCACCCAGCTAGAGAAGGCAGCAGAAGAGCCCCAGACCTGCTCTCAGACCCTCAGGTCCTCCAGACACCAGCTCCTCCCGCCTGGGGGAAGCCGGGGCAGGCAGGCTGCCTCTGTGACCGGCAGGCACTTTCATGCAGAACGGGGCAGCCCACAGCCTGCCCCAGACAAAGGCCTGAGCCTTTGATCATTCTCAACTGATCAATGATGAGAATCATTAATCAGTTGCCTACTGCTCGCCCTCTACTGGGGATGAGCCTGCAAGCTGGGCATGTGCCCTGACCTCCTGGTTCATAGGTGGATGCTCAACCACTGAGCCACACAGGCCGGGCTTGTTTTGTTCTTTATTTACCATGATATACCAGGATGTTTTGAATTACTTGTGTTGCAATTAAGTTGCATTTTCTTTGACTCAGGCCAAAGCTCTGCTCCCCTCTCTCATTTCAGTACATCCCCATGCCCGTGCTGTACGGAGTCTTCCTCTACATGGGCGTGGCCTCCCTGAATGGCATCCAGGTAAGGCCTCCCCATGGGGTCAGCGCTCTAAGTCTGGCTCCATGTCACCAAGACCCCAAATGCTCGCTTTCCCAGTTCAATGGAAGAATAATGGTAACAATAAGACTACCATTTACTATGTGCCAAGTAAATAACTATACCGGGCACTTCATAGGTGTGATATCATTAAATCTGTAGAGGTAGGCCCTCCGATACCGATGTTACAGATGAGGAAACTGAGGCCCAGCATTCAAAACCCAGGTGGGGCTGACTCCAGGGAGCATTTCACTACACCTCTGACTTCTCTAGGGCAACTCTGGCAGAAGAACACACTTTGTTTCATTCTTTTTTTAAAAAAATATATTTGTGTTGATTTCAGAGAGGAAGGGAGCGGGAATGAGACCTAGAAACATCAATGATGAGAATCATTAATCAGTTGCCTACTGCTCGCCCCCTACTGGGGATGAGCCTGCAAGCTGGGCATGTGCCCTGACCTCCTGGTTCATAGGTGGATGCTCAACCACTGAGCCACACAGGCCGGGCTTGTTTTGTTCTTTATTTACCATGATATACCAGGATGTTTTGAATTACTTGTGTTGCAATTAAGTTGCATTTTCTTTGGCTGTGGATGGTATTCGTCTGTGGCCAGTTCCAGGGCCCAGCCCTCCCCCAGGGCCCAAGCCCTTCCCTGAGCTCTTGCTGTATAAGATCTCACTGGATGTCCTCTGATACTTCCAGTTCTCTCTGTGCGTCCTTAACGCCTGACCAAGAGCTCCCTTCTATGAGGCAGCACCGCTTCCCCCACCCCAAGCCCCCAGCAGGGCTCCCGGCCCTCACTGCTGGCTGAGCCTCTGCCTCCTCCCCAGTTCTGGGAACGCTGCAAGCTCTTCCTGATGCCGGCCAAGCACCAGCCGGACCACGCCTTCCTGCGGCACGTGCCCCTGCGCCGGATCCACCTCTTCACTCTGGTGCAGATCCTCTGCCTGGCCGTGCTCTGGATCCTCAAGTCCACGGTGGCCGCCATCATCTTCCCGGTCATGGTAAGTGCGGTGGGGCTGGCTTCCCCTCCCGTTGGAGGTCCACTCTCGCTTCCTCCTCCCTGATGGCCTGACTGGTCAGGCAGGCACAGAACAAGACTGGAGCTGTGAATCCAGGCCAGCTGGGGTGGGGCAGATGACGAGGAGGGCAGCGAAGGTGGTCTGTGCAGTGGTCAGACCCTGCAGTGACCATTCGCACTCCCACCTCCACTCCACTCAGGTGGCAGAGCTCAGCGAGAGTGCAAACGCCACTCAACCACCCCCGCGCTGGGGCAGGATGGCGAAGCTGGGCAAATGTGACAAGGAGGCTAAGGTCCCCGCTGCTGACATTCAAACCAAGTGCAGAAGTAGATCTTGCTAAATAGAAACCCTTTTGCTCTGGCTGGTTTGGCTCAGTGGATAGAGCTTCAGCCCGTAGGATGAAGCTCCCTGCAAATGTGAGATGGGTGGGTAAGCGAAGAGGAAGAGGACAAGCTTTGGGTTTGGGCCTCCCTGGGTTCTGATCCGGACTCTGCCGTTTGTCAGCGCCATGACCTTGAGCAAATTCCTTGACTTCTCCAGGATAATGCGATTCAGATGAGGTGGGATGGACAAAGGAATAGAGTGGGGTCCTGGCTGGTTTGGCTCAGTGGATAGAGCGTTGGCCTTCGGACTGAAGGGTCCCGGGTTCGATTCCGGTCAGGGGCATGTACCTGGGTTGCGGGCACATCCCCAGTGGGGATGTGCAGGAGGCGGCTGATCGATGTTTCTCTCTCATCGATGTTTCTGACTCTCTATCTCTCTCTCTTCCTCCCTGTAAAAAATATATTTTTTTAAAAAAAGCAAGAAACCCTTTCATCATTCAAACTAACTGAATTTGAGAAGCTAACTGGGGAGTGGGAAGAGCTAGAATCAGAGATAAAGAACTTCAAAGTCCAATGTCATTAACATGACATTTGGGGAAAGGACATTAGAGTTCTGTGACTATTTCGGCAAATTTTATGTAAGTTTAAAAGTATTCCAAAATAAGAAATAAAAAGAAAAAAAACAAAAACATGTTGCCTCAGGCTCCTAGATAAGCCCATCACAGAGAAGTGGCCCCAGGCCCGGGTGGGCCCCACAGCCTGCAGGGCTGGAGCGGGGCAGAGGGAGGACAGGAGTAGGATTTGAATGTGCCCTCCTGGGGGGCTCCACGTAAGTGATTTTGGACCCAGGCTTCTCATTAGTGTCCCCCAGCACCCAGCAGTGTGTGATCTGATGCAAGCTTAAGTTTGAGGACCACCAATTTAACGAATAACTGTAGTTCTCCGACCATGGCTGCCACTGGCTCCCCACCTCAGCCATCGCAGGCGCTGTCCCTATGGGTTCCAGGTAGGCATTGCCACTGGGGAAAGCCAGGCAGGGTCCAAGGTGGGCAGCTGGTGAATAATGGTTGTGGGAGCTTCGAGATGGCTCCAAAGACATTGACCAGAAAACATCCTTGAACATGGCTGCTGAGGGGGAACGACTGTGCCCAAGTTGGGGGACCTGAGCCTTCCATTTTCTCCCAACTCCCACTGCAGATCCTGGGCCTCATCATTGTCCGAAGGCTGCTGGACCTCGTCTTCTCCCAGCACGATCTGGCCTGGATCGACAACATCCTCCCAGAGAAGGAGAAAAAGGAGACGAATAAGAAGAAAAAGAGAAGGAAAGGGGCCCATGAGGACAGTGACAAGGAGGTGGGGAGGATGTGAGGCTGGGCCTGGGGGGGAGATTGAGAGGCTCCCTCCACGTCAGCCAGGGCCGGGATGGGGTGGCTTCCCAGGCGGCCTGCAGCGACCCAGTCCAGGATGGGCCGAGGCTTCTGCTAATCTTAGTCTGGGGGCTGAGAGCTTGTCTGTTTCTGTGACCATCCTCGGGGTGGCCAGAGTGAAGGAGCCCCCACCCAGGGAAACGTTGGCCATTATCAACAGCAGTGCAGTCCCCTAAGGCAGTGGCCAGCAAACTGTGGCTCTTTGGCCCTTTGAGTGTGGCTCTTTCCCAAAATACCATGTGCGGGCACGCATGTACAATGCGATTGAAACTTCGTGGCCCATGTGCAGAAGTTGCTATTTTGTGGAAGAGCCACACTGAAGGGGCCAAAGAGCCGCATGTGGCTCGGGAGCCGCAGTTTGCCAACCACTGCCCTAAGGGAACAGGGCAAAGCCTGGCTCCATCACAGCGTCTTTAAGGACTGACCTCCAAAGAATGGAGCGGGTGGCAGGGCTGGGGCGGTTCCGATGGGAGCTCACTAGGAGACTGGACTCCAGGACAGACAGGACGGGGACAAGGTTTGCTCAGTCCTGCCCCTAGGGTGTCAGGGCGGGAGGTGGGGAAGAGGCCCAGTCCTCACTGAGAATGGCTCCCTTCCCCAGATGCCCACAACCACTGGGTTGCCCTGACCACTCCTCCCTTTTCCCACTCTCCTCCCATCCCACCCCCCAAACACTTAGGGAGTCAACAGACAAGAAGCCAGTCCAGAACTTACAGTGAGTCACAAAATGGTGGGGAGAAAGATCGTCTAGTTCAAGTGCTCATTACAGATGATGTAACTGTCCCCCAAAAGGGAAGTGATTCACCCAAGATGGACATACAGCTGAATACCTTAGAGGGAATTAAGACAGTCACTCCTGACTTTGCATCTGGCCATTCCAGTATACCAAGCTGCCCATGACATCTAATACCAGGCCTGGCTCCCTTTCTCCCAGTTTGACCCAAAACCACATCCCTGCATCATCCTTGTACTGTTCTCCTAGTGATCTTGCCTTTTGCAGGTCAAAACTCTTCTTAGGTGAATCCTTGCTGGCTGACTGGTGTTGATTCAACCACCTTCTGATGGAAGTGAGGGCCCCAAACTCCCCTGGTCCTCAATTACTATCCTCGTCCAGGAAGGGAAGAGGCCCATCATTCACTCATGTTTTTCGTTGATGGTTTAGACAATTTTCAAAGATAGGTTCTAAGAACAAAGGAAACCAAGTCGAAGTGCCTTTTAAAGACAAATACTATTCTTTCAGATTCATTCAATAAATACTTGAATGGCTACCATGTGCCCCGAACTATTCCAGGGTTGGGGAAAAACCTCTGGATTACATGATATAGTCAATGTGAAAACGGGATTCAATTTACACAAATTCATTTTACACACATCTGGAGGCGAGGATGGCACTTTGCACACTGTGGATGCATGTATTTCCCATTTTGGCCAGAAAGGCAGCGCTGTTGTATTGGTGTTCATCAGCTTTTCCCACTGTTTCTCTCCAGCCCCAGTTCCCTCCTCCCTCCGTTATAAAGATTCCCATGGAAAGTGTCCAAACAGATCCCCAAAATGGTATCCACTGCATTTCCAGTAAGTAAAACACATGGCGTCTCTCTCCTCCTTACTAACCCTCCGCTTCAAGGAACTTCCATCTCTAATTCAGGGCATCTGGTGGTCTTAGATGTTAGAGGACCACTGTGCTAGGCAGACCATTCCTTGGTGATTGCTGAGATGATTGAGAGCTCAAATCCAAACTGAGTTGTCCTTTATTTTACATATTTAATATATTTTTATTGATTTCAGAGAGGGAGAAACATCAGAATCATTCACTGGCTGCCTCCTACATGCCCCACACATGGTGGTGGTGATGGGGGCCGCCAGGGGTGGGGGGAAGGGGGAGGATTGAATCCACAACCCAGGCATGTGTCCCAACTGGGAACCAAAACGTGACCTCCTGGTTCCTAGGCTGCTCACCCACTGAGCCACGCTGGCCCAGTGAGTTGTCCTTCAGCAAAACAGGTAGCATCACATTTGGAGTATAGCTTAGGTCACAGTAGTTGGGCTGATTCTGTACAAATTGCATCTTCCACCCGCTGAAAGGGAGGCTTCCTGGGAGGGATGCGCGTTGCTCATGAAGATCCTGGGGGATTGTTGCTACCTTTACCCGCTCCCAGCCTCAGCTCCCTATTGGCAAAGTCCCATCATTGAGACAAGACAGCTTGAGATCCCAACCCGAGTCCAGACCCTGTTGCTCCTAATATAGAGCTTGCCACTTTCCTCAAAGACCATGTTAGGGATCCTGCCAGCCCCATCAAGAGCTTCCCATCACACCCTCCATCAGAGATACTTCGACTTTCTGTTTCCCCACTTCCTCTTTGTATGATTCTATCACCCTTTCTCGCTCTTCCCTGGCCCTCCCCACCCACCTAACCCGGCTGAGCCTTTTAATGAAGGAATAACTAACCCACACATCCTAGCGAGAGCCCTGAATCCCTCTTGTGCAGTGTTGGCCATGGGACCAGAGAATAGAAAGGAGACAAAATGGGTAGGGGAAGCACTGGAAAAAGGATCTCCTCCAGTGGAGTCCTCAAACCTGCTCCACATCTGACATTTTAATTTTCCTGCCAGGAAAAAGATCCTCCAGCTGGAGTTACTCATTCTGATTCTTCCTTCAGTGACTCAGAACCTGATCGAAGGTAACAGCCGTGAAGTGTACTCCTTGGGTGTTGGATAAGAAACTAAACAATGGCCAGGAAGGTTGAGGGACTAGGATCTCCCGGCCTAGCCAGTGTCTCAGTAAAAGGCCTTTGTTTTGTGGTCCACCGAGGACAGAAAGGCTGTCAGTCCTGATCGTTGGGTGTCCAGTAACAAATCTGTCCTCTTATTGACATAAAAACATGATTACAACACACAAAGGTATTCAAGTTTACAAGAGGAAATTAATATAAAATATTAGGTAAAACGATAATGGAAAATACTGAAAAACAGAAAACAACACAGAGGAAAACCAGATATGGCTTAAGTACTGTCTGTTATGGACAGCCAGGCTAAGGGAACGCTAAGGGTCCAAGCATCGGGTAACCTACTACGCTGTGCAATCAAATAGCAGCGTGGTTAATTAGCAGGTCAGAAAGCGTATCAAGGAAAGCTAACTAAAGAGCAGGTGGAGACAGGAACAGTCCAGAAAATATTCAAGACCTGGTTTCGAGGAGCCCCAGGCCAACAAGGTGGCTCCTACCTGATCTCAATGAGAGCCACCCGTGCAGAAAGCCGGGCTACCTGATGGCTGAAAACAAAGGGGCTCCAACGTGGAAAAGAACAATTCAGAGGCAGGCGAGTGGGCCTCGGTTGTTACTGGGGAAGCTGGCAGGGCCAGTCCCACTCTTACACTGTGCCCTAAACTGGGCAGAAATCCCTCGGTACTGGGTCGAACAGGGAAGGCACGGGCTACCCAAAGTCTGGAGGCAGATAACCCCCTACTCACATGGCATTCTCTCAAGGGGTTTAAGAAACACATACGGGATCTTCTGAGCTGTAAGTCAGAACTGCTATCACATGCCCAGCTGAAAAGACACGTCATCAGGACTGGCCTCCCTCAGCGGCTGGCCCAGGGCTGTTCCAGCCCAGGAGTGTCACATGCCCAAGTACATCTCCGCCTGCCGTCTCACCCCACCTCCCCAAGCCAGGCTCTTCTACCCTTAGCCGCTGACCTTTACATATAAACGTGTTAGAAGAGCAATCTGTCCACCCTGATTTGCTTTCACTTTAGCCTACACTAAATTGAATCTCTAATTGCCCCGAGTTCAGTTAGTAGAGAGAAAATTTGGACCAAGATAGGGCATTTCAAACACCTTGTTAAATTATACAAAGCACGGGACAGATTTGGTAACTGGCAGTGGCACCTCCCAACTACACGGGTGTTTTACCACATCTGTGAAGGCAGAGACCACCAAGTAGCAGGATTCCATTTCAATGAAGAAAAAGGCTCAGCAACATGATCTAATTTAACAAAGGTTAGCATCATAAGCTACCAGGCAGGATGCTTATGCCCTGGGGATACAGAAGGGCATGTGGACAGGGACACCCAGCACTTTGTGCCAAGAACAATGGAGTAACGGTGTAAGGGCCGATTTGCCTTACCTGGAGCACCTGGGAAAGATACACAGGCGTCCACTAGCCACTAGTGCAGTGGTTCTCAACCTTGGCTACCCATTAAAATCACCTGGAATCTTTTTAAAATCCTGATTTCTGGAAAAAAAAATACTGATTCCCAAATGATTCTAATGTGCAGCCAAGGCTGAGAACCACTGCACTAGAGACAGAGTGAGGAAAAGAGAAAAAAGGGCATTCCAGGCACGAGAACAGACCAGAAATACCATTGGAAAAAACACACACTCAGGCCAAAGAACGCAGGGAAGGATGGAGCCGTCAAACTACAAGTAAACAGGAGGGTGAGCACAGGAGCCCGTGTGCTAAGGTGCTCGGATGCTACGTTTTGAACTGGAAAACCACGGGAAAATTTAAGTGGGGAACCAGACAGATTTGTGATCCAGACAGTTCACTTTGGCAGCAATATGAATAGGTTGACACAGGGCAAGAATAGTAATGTCTACAGCTGAAGGCCAAGCAGATAGGATACTGCTAGTTGCTGTGATGTGTTCAGATTTCATAAGAAAAGAGAACTATCTGCATTAGAGCCCTGCTCTGGGGGGATCGCACAACAAACACCCAACACTAGATAAACCATGCTCCCCTTTTTCTCGTTCAGCATCACCTTGCACTTCAAAATCTCCTGTCCAGCTTCACCTGCTTTCAACTACTCTCAGAGGCCAGTGTTCATGGTGCCACAGGTGAAGATAGAGATGGAGTCAGACTGTGACTTCACAGACATGGACATGTACGGAAGAGACGCTGTCGGCGAGACCTCCCTCTAGGAGGACACAGCGTCCCCAGAGAGGGGGCAGAGGGAGGGCATGGTTTAGTCTTCATCGTGAGGGTCTGGGCCACAACCCTGAACTTCTCGAGCCCGTTTCCTTATTTAACAAACAGAGTAATTATTCCAGCTGATGAAAAACTGGGAATCCGTCGATGAAAAGTACTACTTAGGTGCAAAATCTCCCCTTCCTTTGTAGTTATGCAACAACGAAAGCAACATGTTATACATTATTTTAAAATACAGGTCAGCATAGAAATTATAACATTTCTTTTGAAATTTAAAAAAAAAAATGCTTACCTCCCAAAACTGTGGTTAAAGGTGCAATAGTCCATTTTTATTGAAAATAAATTAACAGTTGAGAATTTTTTTAAAGGTTAGATTTTAAAGTGTCTAGATGATTTTGAAAGAACTATTAAAATACCCACACTTCAGTAGAGCAAGGCTGAAAAATTCATCTTGCAATTTTGCATATTAGGAAACACTTAAAAGTCCTATCTTTCCACTCCATCTCATTCCATTTGCTAAGGATCATACAAGAGCTTGAACTGTCTGCATTATGGGCCTTGCTCCAGCACAGAAGTGTGACTGAAAGGTCTGTAAATGAAAGAACCAACAGATTTGAGTGCATAAATATTTCTAAAATAAAAGTTCTTGTTAGAATAAAACCTCAAACCATGTTAAATCAACACAATGATCCTTTGAATGAACATCACTGTTTTTTCATGCCCAGAATCAAATTTCTGGACTTGTAGGCAGGACCTTCCTGATTCCCAAAGTCAAACTCCCATTCGCATGAACATTGCAGTTAGGCAGAGCTGATGTCAAATTTTGGAAGAGTATAACTTTGTAATATGAGACTAATGCTTTAAAGGAATGATTGGAAGCAAGTTGGGTGGATTGAAACCCATTGTTAATGACGCAAATCCTTTCCTCAAGGAACAAGATCGGTCTTTATCTTTAATCCATGTTTAGCAAACACCAACCATGTTTTCATTTAACTACTACTATGTGCCTAATAGCCGCAATGCATCTGACATAAAACAACTGGGATTTGGATCTTGAGTAAATCACTTTGATTTGTTACTAAATTTATTCAAGATGACAAATGCAGGTGCTTTTTCTTTATTCCTTCCTATTTTTTAGACAAATGACACTAGACTGTTGACAACTTGAGTCAACAGAACAGTTAAATGTCTCTGTAATTCCTAAAGCCTAGTGCAGTGACTGGTCCACAGAAAGCTCTCAATTGTTTATTAAATTAAGTCTCAGAGCTCCCTTCCACGGGATACTGCCAAGAGGTAAAGCTCTAAACCTCTGTTACTTCTGATAGCAGCTGAATTACTTAGCTGCTCACTAATCTAGAACCATTACCTGAGTTTAAGTATAAATTCTTTACCTGTTCCTATCCTGGGGGAGCTAACAACCTACCCTTAACATTTCACTGTTAAAACTTGGCTGATTTTCAATAGCACTCCATCCAAACTGAACTGTAGAAATGTTATGGCTTCAGGAGTAAATGTGCTTGATTCATCAAACAAACTGAAAAACCACAATGTTAATTTTTTTGTTCTGTAAACTGATCACTGTAATTTTCACCTCACATGTCATTTATACGTTGTATATACATGAACATTTTAATGTTGATAGCTTTTAACAGGTTGACATGTTACTTCTCCATGCAGGTCAGTACATTTTTCTGCTTGTAACTGCAGTTCAATAAAATGTAATCCTGTCTGCTCATCTTGCTCCATGTTTAATAATGTAGGTGAGTCAGCAGGCATGGCTTATGGACACTAGCGACTCACTTACAAAAAACATCTCTTAACAAACTAGCATCTTCTTTCATCTCCAGAAAATCATCAAAGGAATAAAGGCAGCTGGCAGAGGAACAGGAGGGAATAGGTCAACTCCCCATTGTTCTCCTTTCTCTGTCTGCCTCAAGCTGCCTGGAGCAGCAGCTGCTTCTGCCTGCGCAAGGGCCAGAATTCCCAGTCCTGGTGGGACCTATCCTAGCCTCCAAATGTGCAATACCTTCCAATCTGTCATCAATTACAAAAATTCACAGAGAGAGAGAGAGAGAGTTTTTAGGAGAGAGAAGGGGAGAGAGAGGAGGGGGGGAGAGAGAGAGGGAGAGAGAGGAGAAACTTGGGAAGCACATCAAGTTCTTCGTAAACTGAACAATGTGTAAACTGAATGCATGGTTTAGAAAATACTCAGAACATTAACCACTTAAATGAATCTTACCGATTAAGATCCTGGCTTGGCACACCTGTTGGATGTAAGATTAAATGGACCAGGCTGGTTTCTCCACAGCTCTTTAAACCACTTTGTTTAAGGCACAGGAGTGGGTGTTGCCACTTACAGAAATAGCTAGATCAATTACATCCAATGAGAAAACTTAACTATGGTTAGGTCACAACTAAGACAATCCAATAGCAGTTAGATACAGTATTTCAGAAACTCGTTTCATACTAGTCAGAGTGTTTTATTTAAAAAACAAAATAAAACAAAAAAAAATTAATCAGAAAGTCTGATTAAATTCAATATTAACTCAAGCTCTCAAAAACCTATTGGGGAAAGCCAATAGGTGCATCAGAGAAAGCAGGCAACAGGCCGACAATTCTTTGGTGGAAAAGGCAGTTGCATCTGTATACAAATGCCCTAATGATTATCAAGCCCAAGTTTTGTTTTTCAAAAATAGGTTTCAAGATCTACTAAAGAAACCATACAGACTTCCCCAACAGTACAAAAAAATTAACAATAAAGTTTAAGGATATAGGAAAAACCAAATGACAATACACGTGAATTATGTATAAAATAAGCCTTTCGATCCCAGAAAACCAAAAGAGGACCTCATGAATGGCAACACACATAAAATAAAGGCAATTTGTAACTGAGGTGGTCCGCCAAAGTAAAGCAGCCCTTCTCAATGGGAGTGTCCCCCATGCAATCACCAGGCTAATGGCTCCTCTTACGGCCAGATCACATGACCCAGCATGATAATGGCACGATCCCTGGTGAGGCACTGGGGAGAGCTATGTGCACAAGCATCCACCCACTTAAGCTTTCAATAAATACAAAGCCCTGTTTAAAACCATGTCAGTAGAATAAATAAGAGATGCTGCATTTCTATCGACCTGTTTCGCCTCCTGAACTGGCGTGGAGTACCGTTCATGACCCAGAAGACACGCCCGTTAATTAGTTGCCACTCCAAGCTCTTTAGGCTTCAGTACCACCTGCTCTTCAAGCCTCAGCACCTTTTTTGCAGCGATAAGGGTATTCTTCATTAGCATCGCCACGGTCATGGGACCAACACCCCCAGGGACTGGAGTGATGTAGCCAGCTTTTTTCCGGACTTCTATATAGAAGAAACAAGACAGCAGACTGCTTTAATCATGACAAAGGACATGTATGTATTTTAACATATCATGGAAGCATGGGGGGGCGGGGCAATAATATACATAAGCACCTTCATAAATCTCAAACTCATAAAAATCACATCTAATCACTCAAGAGTAAAGGCCTTTGAACATACTAACAAAATAACATGCACATATTAAGCCAAGTTGTTCAAGGAATATTTATACATCTGAATCACCTGTAATCTACCAGCCACACTTTCCTCCATATTCAATCTACTTAAAAAGAAACAACTCAGTAGGTTGACTGTAGGGGAGGTCTACCATAAACATTACCTCAATTAATACCTGCCTACAACATTTTCTTAATTTTACTTTATTTATATACGATATTTATTCATACTGTTTGCCCAAAATACCAAGGAAAGCAATTTTCTGGAAAGAAGCAAGATTTTTTAATCCAATCTTTTTTTTTTTTAAATATATTTTATTGATTTTTTACAGAGAGGAAGGGAGAGAGACAGAGAGTTAAAAACATCGATGAGAAAGAAACATCGATCAGCTGCCTCCTGCACATCTCCCACTGGGGATGTGCCCGCAACCCAGGTACATGCCCTTGACCGGAATCGAACCCGGGACCTCTCAGTCCGCAGGCCGACGCTCCACCCACTGAGCCAAACCGGTTTTGGCTAATCCAATCTTTTAAAATTGATTTTAGAGAGAGAGGACAGGGAAGAGACAGAGAAACATGTATTTGTTGTTCCACTCATTTATGCATTCACTGGTGGCTTCTTGTATGTGCCCTGACCAGAAATTGAACCTGCAACTTTGGTGTATAGGGACTATGCTCTAACCCAGTGGTCGCCAACCGGTGGTCCGTGGACCACTGGTAGTCCATGAGGTCTGAAAGGTTGGCGACCACTGCTCTAACCAACTGGTGAGCACCTGGCCAGGTCTTTAACTCAATCTTAAAGAAAAAACACTTGGTTACCTAGGCTTGGGTCTTAAGAACTGAAAGGAGATGTCTACAGTACTAGTAAGTGCCAAATTTTCAAGAACATGGCTTTTTCCTGGATTGTTTTAACATTCCAGGTCTGGGATCCCCTCTTAAAATGAGAAATCTGTAACACTTTTTAGGAGACTCAGTGGTTTAGGGAAATCACTTCATTAAATTTTCAGACTTGTTAAAAGTCTTGAAGTTGTTTTAATTATGAAATAACCCTAAGGAAAAACAATTCCCTGAAAAGTTTATACCTACTGTCCATAATCTTATGACATAAACTAAAATAATTCTAGAATGTCTATAACTTGAAAAAACATTTCTCTTAATTCTTGTTGAAAGCCTTTTAAATGATATTACCAGAGTAACACAAGTTTAAAACTTATAAGAAAAAGTAAATGATTAGTCCTAAATGTCTATTAATGGTAGTATTTATTGACTTTATATATTTTTTTAAATTATACTATTTACCTTCAAAATCCACATCTCCAACCAACTTGGGTTTAGCAGTGATAGGATCCTGAATTCTATTTATTCCCACATCAATGACGGCTGCTCCTTCCTTGATCATATCTGCTGTGATCAAATTTGGAATGCCTGGGGAAATGGAGACAGGAATGATCAATCACCTACTGAAACATCTGAAAACGCCTGTCTGAGTCTTTTTTTAAATTTTTTAAATTATTATTATTTTTTAAATATTTTTATTGATTTCCCACTGAGCCAAACGAGCTAGGGCTGCCTGTCAGATTCTTATCTAATTTCAATTTTAAGAGACCTGGAAGAACTAGTTAGCTTGTTTTATAAATACCTACAAGAACCATTAACCAAGGAAACATTTAAACTTCATATAGTAAATAGAAATCCTTTGAGACTATAGACATAACATTCATCCATCAAGTCTATGATGAAATGACAGAAACCACTATACCAAGCACAACTCTTCCCTCATTTTGTAGGCAGCTCATGGTGGCATCCTAGGGTAAGAATGAGTGGAATGGCAGCGAAGCAGGCAAGTTCTAAGGCAAGAGGCCCATCTCCTGATGTCCTTCCGTCCCCTTCCCTGGTGGTCTTACCTGCAGCAGAGATCACAATATCTGCAAGAATGGTATGTGTCTTCAGCTGCTCTTTGGGGGTGTATCGATGCGATATCGTAACAGTGGCATCACCTGTGAATTAAAATTAAATGTCTTGATTTCTGAATCAAAGCTGGGATTGGAGTAGGTGTCAACTAGGCAAACCATTGTAGAAATTCAACATCTCTGAGGAAATAATTGACTTAATTCATGTGCCATATTTTCTGGACAGCCAATTGTCTTTTTTTTGTTTTAATTAATACTCAATTTCTTGTAACTTTCACCTGTTAGTTAGTCCTAGCTCTAATCTTTGGAGTCATATATAACTAGATTTCTTCTTTAGCCTGTTTAATAACAGTTTTTCAAGAATTTTACCTTTCCTAAATAAAATATCCCTAGAATTACTCAAGGGTTATTTTTTAAGTTTGCTAGAAATATTTAGTTTTGCCATTGTTCCTGATGTAATCATGTAGGTCCATATTATGATAATCACACATGGTAACTCTGATTTGAGGCTTTTTCTCAAACAAATGAACAGAATTTGACATAATGACACATTAGAGTCATATGACATCAATCCTTTGCAATGGTCAAAGATTTTTTTCTATCAAATGACACAGAACAGGATACTATAACTTTGAAAAAGAGTGGTCTCCTAACTCCAACTATCAAAGCCATCACTGAAAATTTCTAATTACCTACAACCATGCTTATACTTATAAAACTTAAATTTTTGAGGCTTATCCATTTCTGAACTAGTTCCATAATAAATGAATATAAATAAACTATCAGGTGACACTGAGTACAGCTTCTCCTACAAAGATTATACCCCAAATATCTGTTAACAACATTACAACAAATGCAAACAAAGACAATGTTCCTTGGATGTTTGACACAGTGAACACTTGGTCCACAGGACAGCCTCTGAAGGCCTCTGTGGGGGAGAAGACAGCTTCCAAAAGCGCTTCGCTTACCTCCAGGGCGTTCGTGCGCCCCGTCTGTGTGCAGCAACATTGCAATGGGCATCCCAACATTTTGGGACCTTCCAGCTACAACCACATTCTTCCCTAGGGTCGGAATGCCTATTAAACACACAGAGGGGGTCAATGAGGGAAAAAACGGGGCATATGTAGTACTCTCAACAATAAAGAATTATTTAAAAAAATAATATATTTAAAAGCAATGCCAGACTGTCTTAGGGCACCAAAGGAGAAGGCAGATGGCCTAGGATGTGAATCTAATTATAATAATGAAGGAAGTCCCAAGCTGGTTGCCTCAGTCAATTGGCCCTATCGCTTCAAGGCT